AAATGGTAGACTTAAATCTAAACATATCAATAATTACATTAATTAAATGGTCTAAACACCCCAATTAAGAAGCACAGATTGTCAGACTGGTTTAAAAAAAGCAAAAAACCAAAGCAAGACCAAAATTTCTGTTGCCGCTACGAAAGTCACTTCAAACATGACACAGGTAGGTTAAAAGTAAAAGGATGAAAAAAGATACACTATGAAAACATTAATCCAAAGAAAAAGTAGGCTTTCGGACAAAGTAGATTTCAGAGCAGAGAAGATTACCATTACAGGGATAAAGAAGGAGCCTACATAATGTTAGGATGGTCAACTCACCAAGAAGACATAACAATTCTTCATGTATATGCACCTAACAACAGAGTTTCAAAATACACAAAGCAAAAACTGACTGAAAGAACATACAGGGTCTAATTGACATAGGACATTCCACCCAATGGCAGCAGAATATACATTTCAACTGCATGTGGAACATTCACAAGAACAGACCATATTCTGGGTCATAAAAGCAAATCTTCTTAAATTTATTTCATTTTATTTTTTTAAAAGATTTGATTTATTTATTTGACAGAGAGAGAGATAGCGAGAGCAGGAACACAAGCAGGGGGAGTGGGAGGGGGAGAAGCAGGCTTCCCGTCGAGCAGGGAGCCTGATGTGGGACTTAATCCCAGGACCCTGGGATCATGACCTGAGCTGAAGGCAGACACTTAACGACTGAGCCACCCAGGCGCCCCAAATCTTCTTAAATTTAAAAAGAACTGAGATGATACAAAGTTTTTCTAAATGTAAAAATATTTAGAAGTTTTTATTTAACAAATAAACCTGGGAATGTTTCAGGCAAAGTGGGATGGTTGGTGACTGGTGTCTTAATCTATGGTATATTAATCTATGGTATTTTTCAACCTGTACCTTGAGATTGTTTTTTTATTATGATAAAAGACACATATAAAATTTACCATCTTAACCTTTTTTAAGTGTACAGTATAAGAGGTAACTGTACGCACCACGTTATGTAACAGATCCCTAGAACTCTTTCATCTTGAAGACCTGAAACTCTGTATCTGTTGAACAACACTTCCCCCTTCCCCTCTCTCCTCAGCCCTGGGCAATAACCATTCTATCTTCTGTTTCCAAGAGTGTGACTGAAAGAATACATTATTTGATCAGATGGAATTAAACTAAAAGTCATGGAAAGGTAGCAAGAAAGTCTCTGAATACTTGGAAATGAAACCACATACTTCTTTTTTTTTTTTTTAAAGATTTTATTTATTTGAGAGAGAGAGCACACGAATGGTGGGGAGGAGCAGAGAGAGAGAGAGAAGCAGACTGCCTGCCGAGCAGGGAGCCCAACTCGGGGCTCGATTCCAGGACCTCAGAGATAATGACCTGAGTTGAAGGCAGACGCTTAACCAACTGAGCCACCCAGATGCCCCTGAAACAACATACTTCTAAATAATCCACGGGTCAAAGAGTAAGACTCCAAGGAAATTAGATACTATTTTCAATTCAACAAAAACGAAAATAAAACATCTAGAAATTTGTGGGATAAAGTTAGTGCTTGGAGAGAAGTTTATAGCATTAAATGCTTTAGAAAACAGAGGTCTCAAAGTCAATAACCAATGCTTCTACTTTAAGAAACTAGAAAAAGGACAGCAAAATAAATCCAAAGCAAGCAGAAGGAATGACAACAAAGATAGTAACAATTACTAGTTACTAGTCTTTAACCACTGAAGGAAGGCCCTGGGTTTGGGTGCCGAGCTAGCCTGCTGCACAGTGATGGAGTGGGGCGGGGGGGCGGGCATCCAACTGCAGACATTCCCAAGTTTCCAAGAGTCCTCTTGCACAACCCCCACCTAAGCAGTGCAGCTCATGCAGTGGGGGCAGCAGGCTGTGGCCCCAGACATTCCCAGCCGCCTCTGGGTATAAGCGGAGGTTTATGGGTTTTACCTGATCTGCATCCCTTTTCTGCAGGAGCACATGTCTTTGCGCAGGAAGAGGCTGTTCAGGGTGACCGCCCCGATCAAGAAGAAGAGCTGCTTCACGGCCTGCCTCACCAGCTCAGGGTCCAGGCCGTTCTGGCACATGGTGCTGTAGAAATAGCTCAGCTGCTGCAGGACGGAGGTCATCGTGTAGGCATCCGTGTCATCTATGCTAGATGACCGCTTCCGGAAGCCTGTGGGCTTCAGGCCAGAAATGCCTTGCAGGCTCTCGTACTCCAGCATGCCTGGCACTAGAGAGGAAAACACAAGCATTTCTTGCACACACAGGGGGGACAACCAGAGAACATTTTCCATTGCTCTCCTGGGTCTGTTCCAGGAAGCAGGATGTTTTCTGCAGGAGTTAGCAGTGGATGCAGCTGTGATAGGGGAAGCGGGAGGATTGAGGAGTGGGGAGCCCCGGATGGAGGAGGTGGACAGAGTGCAAGGCTGTTTACAACAGCTTGGAGTCCCTCTTCTTTCAACTTCACAGGAGAGGGAGCAGGTTACCATGATAACTCATGGTCTGGAACCACTTAAAGCCTGAAGGATTTAAATTTCAGAAAATTGTTAGAAACTATAGCGGGACTTTAAGATTTCAAAAACACTTAGTTACGACCTAGGATTAGCTATGTAAGTAGTAGCAGGTTTCCCTAGGCTTTCCTTTCAGGGTGAATCACGCTTACAGGCAGGAAACTATGAACCATGTGCTTTTATATAGGTCATGATTTCAAGCAATTAAAAAGAATTAAAAAGTAGACATTTACACAATTAAACTTTTCTGGTTTTAAAATTATATTCTTTGGAATCACATGCTTTATACTGGATTTATTTTTTTAAGGTCTCCGGGTGACCATAAATATTTTTTGGTCATCAATTCTTTTCTTACCTATTATTGGTTGAATGTTATTTTCCATAACAATAATGAACCGGTGATATATTCGTATAGCCACATCACTAAGAATCTGTCTGTATTCTGAAAGGTCAAAATTGTTCAAGCAGTTCTTATTCTGACGTGGACTATTGAGCTTCATGAATTCCTGAAAGTAATGTGAGCATATAAGTATTAGAATGATATAGACATGTAGGAAATTAAAACACTATCTCTATTAGGGACATTCCAATGAGCTCCTGTACTTTAAAGCCTAGTGTCTGATTTGTATGAAAGGAGCTCGCACGTTTGTGGTACTGCTTCTTCTCTATAACTAACTGTAGCCGTACTGCCTCCTCACCCTCTAAATATGTGCCCCCAGCACCTACAGAATACAGTGCAAAACAACTCCCACGGAAGCTCACCGAAAAAGCCTGCAAAGCACCAAAGGAAACAAACAGCTGCAAGAGGTCAGCAGATGCAATACATGAGATTCATGACTTCATGATTATAGAGCATAGATCAATATGAAATATTTAAAAATGTGTGCTATGGGCTAAATGTTTGTGATGCTCCCAAATTCATATGTTGGAGCCCTCCCTCCTCCAGTGTGGCTGTATTTGCCTGTGATCAGGTAATTCAGATCAAATGAGGTCCTAGTGTGAGGCCCTAATCTGATAGGGTTAGTGTCCCTTTAATAAGAGACACTAGGAAGCTCAATCTGTCTTCTTCCACACCCGTGCACCAGGGAAAGGCTGTGGGTGGGCACAACGAGAAGGCGGCCATCCACAAGCCAGGAAGAGAGCTCCCAGCAGGAACCAGCCGTGCTGGCACCTTGGTGTCAGACTTCGGGCCCCTAGACCTGTGAGAAAATACATTTCTGTGGTTTAAAAGACTTCTAGTCTGCGGTATTTTGTGATAACAGCCCAACCAGACTAATACAATATATTCAATGCGTTCAAAGAGATAAAAGAAAAAGAAAGCATTAAGAAGAGGATATAAGAAGAGGCAGATGTGAAAAAGAACCACTGAAATAGAAATGAAAATATAGCAATTAAAAACACACGCAGACAGGGAAAAGAATGCTCTATACCTGGCTGAGGGGTCAAAGAAAGGGTAAAAAAATAAGTGGTGCTGAATAATATCCTCTTCCATTAATGTCACACACATGTGAGTCTGTCTTAAATGGACTGGGCTGTACCCCCTGCTCCTTTTGGTATCCCTTTTAGACAGAGGTTGGATTTTCTTTATTTATTTCTCTTTTTGTTCTCTAGTACTAGTAGAGTTACTTTTATATCTTACTTTTCCCTCATTGGGACAATTGGCTATCCACACGGAAGAAGATATGAGATCATTATCTCACACATCGTGGGATAAATAATCACACCAATTCTGGATAGATAAAAGCATAATTGTGAGCTCTAAATTTGAATTACAGAAGTTCAGAAGTAAGTAAGAGAATAAGTTCATGATCTCAGGGCAGGGAGAATTTCCTGAAGATACTAAAACACACATCATAAAAGAATAGGATTGATATACCAAAATTCAGAAATTGTGTACAACAGACTCCATAAAGAAAATTACAAGACAAGCCATGGTTTATCCATGATACGTAAAGATCTCCTACAAATCAATAAGAAAAAAAAAAAAGGAAAACTGGTGTCTAGTAGGCAATTTGAACAGAAACCCAAATGACCAGTAAGCATGTGGAGTGATACCCTTTTTTTTTTTTAAGACTTATTTATTTTAGAGAGAGAGAGAGAACACGAGAGCAGGGGGAAGGGCAGAAGGAGAGAGTGAGAATTTCCAATAGAAACCCCACTGAGCATAGAGCCCTATGTGGGCTCAATCTCTTGACCCTGAGATCGTGACCTGAGTGGAAACCAAGAGTCGAACACTCAACAGATTGAGCCACCCAGGCGCCCCTATATTGAGTGATTCCTCATCTCATTAGCGATTAAGTAATGCAATTTAAGTCAACAAGGTATCATTTTATACCAATGAGATTGGTAAATAATTAAAATGTCTGTCAATATCAAGTGTTGGTGAAGGTATGATACTGGAAACTTCATACACCGCTGGTGGGACCATTAACAGTACAAACATTTGGGAGAGCCGTGAAAACCCTAAAAACTGCTTTGTTATTTTAGGTCAATGACATTTTGCTCCGTGAGTACTTGAAGGTGGAGAATTCCTTTATGATGTTAGCCCCTTGGGAGCAGAGCTGGAATGGCAAAGGACATACAGATTGTGGAGGAATGATCAGAATCCTGCAGAGAGAAGAGCTCTGAACAGTCATGTTGATCTAAAGGTTGGATTTTAGAGTCATAATACTAAAAACTTCAGATTTTTACAACCAGAAACAAACTTAAAACTCATCTAATCTACCTCATTGAGGTAGATTATTTTAAAATTATTTATTATTATTTTTAAGATTTATTTATCTTAAGGGGGGGTGGAGGGGCAGAGGGAGAGAGAGAAGCAGACTCCCAGATGAGCGGGACTCATTCCCAGGACCGTGGGATGATGACCCGAGCCGAAGGCAGACGCTTAACCGACTGAGCCACCCAGGCGCCCGCACCTCATTGATTTAAAACTCAAGGAAAACTGAGGCCTAGTATCATGCCCCAGGTCCCGGCCTCTTTCTAAGTCTTCTGACTATGACTTCTGTCCAACCAGTAATGTGAAGTTGGCCTCCGGGCTGAGAAGGAGACCAGGAAGCCATTTGGAGCAGAGGCTGCTCCTGGAGCTGGGGATGTCCCCAATCCCTGTGGTGAGCGCTGGCTCACAAGGAAGTTATAGACCAGCAGTCCGCACAGAACACAGAACAGGCAAGTGTCCCTACCTCTTCTCCACTGTACTGCTTCAGGCAGTTGAGGAAATGACACGTATTGGAAAGCCAAAAAGACAGCATCTCAAAGTCGTCTACGTGTTCCTTAAACAAAACAAAACAAAACAAAAAACCAAGGAAGACAAAGTTGGATTTGGTGACTACTGGTGCCTTTGAGCCCAGAACAGATGTATCTTACCAGTTTGGTCAGCTGGTGGCTTTTGATCAGATTGAATTCTTCTTTTATTCACCAAGACTTTGTTAAACTTACACTGTAGCGATAAGCTCTTAGTTTATTTAGCAGGTTCTGGTTTGCAAAGTATCTCTGTCTAGGTTATGTCACTTATGAAACTTGAAGCAGGCACTGCAGGATGCCTGGTAAAGGCAAGTCTGGGTCCTTGCTTTCCAGAGTTCACATTCTGACCGGGAAGAATGTCATTCGTAACATAACATACATAGGACACAATTAAATGGGTGGCTGAGCTCCTGCACATGGACATAGACTGGGCTACAAACGCTCAGAGGATGGAAGGATGCTGGTGAAAGATGGCAGCTGAGAAGGTCTCCTGAGACGGGGGAGAACGCTGTCCTTGAAGGAAAGGGCTGGAGGGACGAGAGCTCAGAATCGAGGACTCTGCTGGGGAGAACAGCCCCGCTTGTGGGGCAGCAGGAAGAGGGGTACTGTGGTCAGAGGTAAGAGGAAAACTGGGAGGGTCTTGGGATGTGAAGGACAAAGTGGGAGTGTTTCAGAAAGGCAGGCCTAATGCTTCCATCCATGAGAGGAGGATAAAAAATTAAGGGAAAACCATTGGATTTAGCAAGAGGAATTACTGGTCATCTTCTTGTGGAGTGACAGGAGCAGAAGCCGGATTGCAGGAACTGGGGGAGGCTGCTAGTGTAAGCACCTTGGCAGTTGGGGTGGGGGTGGGGGTGGAAGGAAAGGCGTAGAGACTACGGGGTATGTGGGCCAAGCGAGGGCTGCTTTAACGTGCTGTGTGCTGGAGCGGGGAGGGGCAGGTCCTGGCCACGCACAAAGGCAGAGGCCAGGGAGTCACCGGGGAAGCCGAGACGGGAAATGCTGGTGGGAAAGGATTTATACTCCTCATGCCGTGCATCTTTCAGTTTCTAAATATTTAAACATTCCAGAGCAGCAAGATGAGGCAAATACTGTGTGCCTATGGCCTGGGACACAATGCACGTGGGCCCTAAGAAAACCCATCTTATGCAATTACGGACAGGGCAAACATCAATCTCTGGGGGCCCCTTCCAAGAGCACTCTGGTGGCTCTCGTGAATACAGGGACCAGAAAGCACTGAACACCAGACAAATGTGAATTCTCTACTCCTAACTCCTGCTGAATAATGCATCCTCACAGCCGGGCATCTCACCCGCTGAGGGGGTAGGGGTGGTGGGGGTGGTGGCTACCAGGTTGTAGCCTTGGAGGTAAGGCTCTGAGGTCTATTTGCAGATCGTTAGCCTTGGGGATCCCTGACTGAACTTGTCTTTTCTGGACAGCCTGGCTTTCTTTCCCTGAGTGGGCCGCAGACTAGTCTGAGGAATCGTGTGGTTCTCCGAGGACTCGAGGTGAAGGACGGGCCAAGGATGAATCCTTACAATGCTCTTAAAGTAACCAAAATCCCAAGAGCCAATGTCAAGGGCAGTTCCTACCTTAACCACCTGCTTGATACCACTGATGATACTGCTCAGGAGGGACCGGAGCCTGCCGGCGTCATTTAGGGCGTCTGCGTAGCGCACACACATGAGCAGGATGTGAGCCGGCAGCCCTGGGATCATGTTCACCACCACGCCGCGAGGCTTCAAGTCTGGAACAGAAAGAGCTGATGAGGACGACAGCTGAGAGTCAGCTTTCCCCATGAGGAGCCTCTGACTACAGGGCGGGGCTTATTTGCTTTTCTGTACTCAGTGTAGTGCCTGATGCATAGGGATGGCTTTTCTCTTTGAGGGATTCAGTCTGGCTCTTCTTGGCAAAAATGTACAGGTCCCAGGGGAAATCGGAGGGGGAGACGAACCATGAAAGACGATGGACTCTGAAAATCAAACTGAGGGTTCTAGAGGGGAGGGGCGTGGGAGGATGGGTTGGCCTGGTGATGGGTATTAAAGAGGGCACGTTCTGCATGGAGCACTGGGTGTTGTGCACAAACAATGAATCATGGAACACTTCATCTAAAACTAATGATGTAATGTATGGGGATTAACATAAGAATAAAAAAAATAATAATAATATAAAAAAATAAATAAATAAAGGGTTGGATAGTATAAAAAAAAAATGTACAGGTCCCACCTGTTCCTCTTACTTCTCATTTGCAAAGTACTTTCTCTTTTTTAAAAGGCTGAAATCTAGGGGTGCCTGGGTGGCTCAGTCGTTAAGCATCTGCCTTCGGCTCAGGTCATGATCCCGGGGTCCTGGGATGGAGCCCCGCATTGGGCTCCCTGCTCAACGGGGAGCCTGCTTCTCCCTTGCCCTCTGCCTGCCACTCCCCCTGCTTGTGCTCGCGCTCTCTCTGTCAAATAAATAAATAAAATCTTAAAAAAAATAAAGGGCTGAAATTTAGACAGAATTTGTACTTTTCCTTGGCATGGAGACCCTGGATTTCAGACCTCTGATGTGAGGGAGGAACCCCATATCCATGCACCTGACTCCGGCCTCTTATGATGAGGATGGGATATGATCTCAGTGATCTCATGTACCTGCCTTGAATCAGGAAAATAGACACACAATAGTTCTGCAGAGGAGGCCTTGCCAGCCTTGAGGAGAAGCGGGGGGGGGGGGGGGGGGGGGAGAGGGGAGGGTAAAGGGAAGAGAGAGACTTTATAGAACAAACTAAGGTAAGCAAACAAAGACCTCCCCCATGGCTACATTAAGACAGGGGAATGGGGCACCTGGGTGGCTCAGTTGGTTAAGCAACTGCCTTCGGCTCAGGTCATGATCCTGGAGTCCCGGGATCGAGTCCCGGGATCGAGCCCCGCATCGGGCTCCCTGCTCAGCGAGGAGCCTGCTTCTCCCTCTGACCCTAACCTCTCTCATGTGCTCTCTCTCATTCTCGCTCTCTCAAATAAATAAATAAATAAATCTTTAAAAAAAAAAAAAAAAGACGGGAATGAAGAGACCCCACAGCTGTGCACCCATGAGGGTAGAAAGGAAAGGGTACAGGTGCTCACGTGTGGGGCTGGGGAGTCACTTAGAAAAGAGGAAGTTAGGCTGCACATCAGTTTTCTGCTTTAAGATCCTGAGAGCAGCTTTTCTCCCTCCCACTGGAAAACCATGTGATTTTCATGGTGAAGACAGTCTGGTGAGATTAGTTCTGAGACCACCAACCCTTGAGTGTGTATGCTGGAACATTCCTGTAACTGAGGGTGTGGCTGGGAAGCCCCCATCACGTTCCCTGCAAAGAGAATTCTCAGCAGAAGTCAGATGGAACAAGGAGCCACAGTCACTTCCACCATAGCTCCTGTGCTAAGACGCAACAATGAGAGGCTGTGTCTTCTATCTGGATCCTATGATTAGACTTTGCAAGGGGTTAGGGCAGCGCTTCTTAACTGAGGGCAATTCTGGCTCCCTGGGGATGTGTGGCAACGTCTGAAGATGTTTTTATTGTCATGACTAGAGGCTGTTACTGGTTTCTAGAGGGTAGAAGTCAAGGATGCCACTTAACATCCTACAGTGCACAGCCCCCCACAACAACCAATTATCTGGTCTCCAGTGGGGAGGTTGAGAAAGTCTGGGCTAGGAGAAGCAGCAGTGGAGGAAGAGAAGCGACGGCCCCCACCCAGGACGGCAGCAGTGAGTGACAGAGCAAACATTCAGAGTTCCAGGTCTCACTACCAAGAATGAGGTTTTGGATGAGCTTATCCTCATCTTCTGTCTTGTATTCCAGCATTCCAAGGTACTCCTTGGGTCCTGAGGATGAGTGCGCATCATTGCCTGTAGGCAGAGGCAAATAATCAGCTAAATTCACAGAAGCAACTTCCACAGGCTTTATAACAAGACTGCTCTGTCTCTCTCCCCCCCCATTCTGGCTGGCTGGCACATGAACGCTTGTGGCTTTCAGATAAATGGAAACTTGATTAATCCTGAAGAACTCCTCTGGTAGTGATTCGTATCTGCAAGTCTATCAATGAGTATCGCTACTGCTGAAAAGGTGGAGTTATCCTTGAAGGGATCCTCGTGAGAGCCAGCATGAATCCAGCACCGTGCGGATAAGAAAGCAAACCAAGATATTGCTTCTGTCTTCAAGATGCTGATGCCACAGTCAAGAAAACAAGATTTGTGGAACAGTTGGTGAGCAAAGTACCAAACTGCATGATCCCAAGGGGGCTGTATTAGTTTCCTATGTGCTGTAACAACTTACCACCAATTTAGTGGCTTAAAACACCACAGGTTTTCCCAGAAGACTGAAATGGACCTCACATGTAGGACTGAAATCAAAGTGTCAGCAGAGCTGAGTTCTGGAAGCTCTAGGGGAGAATCCGTTTCTTGCCTTTTTCAGCTTCTGGAGGCTGCCCACACCCCCCCGGCTTGTGGCCACATCACCCTGACCTTGGCATCCGTCACCACGTCCCTCCCTCTCTCTCTCTGCTTCCATTGCCACATTACCTTCTTTCACTCTGGCATTCCTCTGCCACCTTCTTATAAGGTCTCTTGTGATTGTATTGGGTCCACCTAGATAACCCAGGGTAATATACCCATCGCAAGATCCTTAATTTAATCACACTGGCAAAATCCCCTTTGCCGTGTAAGTAACATAGTCACGGGTTCTGGGGATTGGGATGTGGACATCTTTGGGTAGGCCAGAGTCTGCCCTCTGGTCGCCAAAGATTCATGTCCATTCTGAGAGGAGACGTGATGACAGAAACAGAGGTTAGAGAGTCAGAAAGATTTTGAAGATGCTATGCTATTGAATTTGAAGATGGAGGAAGAGACCCATAAGCCAAGAAATGTGGGTGGCCTCTAGAAGCTGGAAAGGCAGGGGAAAAGATTTTCCCCTAAAGCCTCAAGAAGGAACATAGCCCTGCTGACATATTGATTTTAACTCTGTGGAAACCATTTTGGACTTCTGGTCTCCAAAACCTTAAGATAATAAATTTGTGTTGTGTTAAGCCACTAATTTTATGCTGATTTGTTATAGCAGCCATAGGAAAGTAATACAGGGGCCATAAGAATTCACACCAAAGTGGCTGGAACTTTAACAAATGAAGGAGGCAGCACAGCAGTTGAGCCAAGAAGGGCAAGGAGGGTCTGGTGGGTGAAAAAGGTGGTGCAGGTGACAAGTTAACAGAACTTTCTTATTACTGTATGAGAAGTTCTCCTGCTAATATACCAGCTCTGTTCCCTTGGAGACTAATAAAGGTAGAATGTCAACTCTCTTACTATGCAATACTGTTTATGGTAAGAATGGCGTCTGATTGGTGCCCTGCATCTGGACCTGGAAGAACAAGAAAGGAAGCAGAAATATCTGATAAGGACATTATACTTTGGGTGTTCTTGAGTGTGGTGACTTGTATCTGGGCATGTTCCTTGCAGGGACTCTGGAAGCAAATGGCACCTAGGAGCATTCAGAAGAGGTTGGCTTCCTGCCAAGAGTCATGTGGCTGAGCCTGGAAGCAGATGCTGCAGCCCAGTAAGCTCTCAGGTGACTGAGTCCCTGCTGACGTCGTGAAGGCACTCAGAGCCGGAGCCCCATAGCCAAGTTGCTCCTGCATTCTTGACTCTCAGAAACTCTCTGTTGCTACATGTGTGTCGTCTAAAGTTGCTAAATTTGGGGATAGTTTGTTATATGACAATAGATAATTAATATAGGAAGGGAAGCTGATGTACTCCACTTTAGCCATGTGGAGTTGGAGGAGTTGGTAGAAAGGCAAAGGAGGTAGTCTTGGAGGTGAAGAGGGACCGGCCGGGACTCAGAAACAGAAGTGAGGAGTAGGAGGTGGATTTTGGAAATCCTTGTGTTGAGACGGTAGTTCATTCATTCTTTCCAACAACGGGGACACAATGGGGGCTTGGGAAGGGCAGACGTGGTCCCTGCCCTCATGGGCATGGGACAGACTGACATTTATCATTAATGACTGAAGGAGAAAAATCCTCATGTTGGTGGTAGGCATTTGGAGACTGAGGTGAGAGTGGGATAAAGAACAATAAAGGAGCTCTTCAAAGAAACGAATACAGAAAAAGGAACAGACAGTTGGAGATACAGCCTTAGTGATCCAGGTTGGGAGGGAGAGGAAGCAATACAGAACAAGAATCAAGAGTGAGGAAGAGAGAAGTCAGAAAAGTTCAGCAACTCAGAAGCAGACGTGGGAAAGAAAGGCACAGGGTCCTTTTCACAGGAGCTCACAAGGGCATTCAAAGTGTGAAGTTCAGTCCATGTTCAGGACTCCTGTCTAGCTTCTTTGTTCTCTACTTCTTTCTTCTAACAGAAATGGAGATACTGATCCTATGTAACTGGGAGAGGAAGAGAATTTCAAAGCAGTTACATTGGAAACTTGTTCACAGTTTCATTTTTACAGGGGAGAGTCAATAGCAGAAGAGGTTAAAAGTATTCATTACGGGGTGTCCCTTACAATTACATGAGTGCATCTGGAATTATCTGAGAGCTGATGAGCTATCATCTGGTCCAAAGGATCTTTCCATTAGCCCATCACTGAGCCCCAACCTGCTCCCCCG